CCCCTTCCTTTCTTCCTCACTCTCCCTACTTTTTTTTTGGTCAAATCCTCAAATTTTGCTCATGCTTCGCCAAATTCGTCGTGACGCGTGGGCCCATTTGATTTCATTAAATAGAATACTTAAGCATAAAAATTGTTTAATCGTCTCATGTCATTAGGAGATGGATTTCATTTTGCATACATTTGCATACTTCCCCCTCAAATTAAACTCGGCAAATATGCAAATGCGGAGGCCCAGGTTATGGCGGAGGTGTTTATTGTCATCACTTCAGGCAGTTCTACACTGCAGCGCCTCCACAGAACAGGGGTGACAGCAACATCTGGAGGCCCGGGGGCAGGGAGGGAGGTAAGGGTGGCAGCAAAAGGTGTAGGTGTGGGGAAAGCAAGTGTGTCGCACGCTGCTGCTGCTACTCAGTTTTTGCGACTGAGAGATTCACTGCTACAGCAGAATCTAAAGCACCAAAAAAAAAAACAAAAAAAACAACGTAAATATCCATCATCACACCCTGCTTACTGTTTTAATTACCAACTTCTTCCCCAGTGCTTTGGATGTCCCCGCGCTAAAATGTATAGTGAGCCAATAAAGACATAAAACACAGCAATGTTCCTTCAACTGTAGCCTCTGCATGTGTTTTTATCAGCTGTTCGGCTGCTATTGTCCACATGGCTAAGCACTGTTGCTAATGAGGAAGTAATTAGCAACAGCGTAACGCTTCTTCACCCGTGCTTAAGTCCTCGCTCATTTTTTCCCCCCTGCTCTGTAATTTTCTCATGCTGCAATTTCAGGCATCACAGCAGCATTTGTTCCAGCACAGTGAAAGTTTGAACCTCGAAAAATGAGCAGCGCAACGCGTACTGTAAGCCACAATTCAACACTGCTGTTTTAAAACTGAAATATACACTGTGGAAGGAATTCACTTCAAATGATAAAGTTATGTTTACCTTATGTACTTAATTTTAGACACAATTCTGACAGCAGACCACTCAAATGTTTTTATTTTTTAAGACACAAACAAAAGAATTGCTTTATACTTAAAAAATTTTCAAACTTAAAAAAACTGTTGATTTTTTATTATGAAAACTAGAAGTTTTAGGATAGAAACTGCCTGCACTGCAAAAATTAGCCATCTAAAAATAAGTTAAAATACTAGATTGTGTGATTATTTTCAAATTGTGTGAAATAATCTGCTACTGCAGTAAGACAATTGCACTTGTTGAAGGCTAAGATTAATAATCTAACACATTCTGCTTAGTTTATCAGTCTCAAAAAAAGATCAAAAATAATTTTGGCTGGATATAAAATTCAAAGATTTGATAAGACAATTTTTGCAGTAAATGCAATCCTCTGTAAACTACATGTGGACAGAAAAGAGACTGACTGCTGCGTGTTTTGTTTCTAAGAGCAGATATCGTACACATTACAAAACAAGTCTGTTAAAATCAGAGAAAAGTGACCTTAAAGCTTTGTGACAATTCATTGCAAAACATGAGGTGTGTCTGATCAGCAGCTGCAACAGGTGAAGAGCTGCTGCAGACAGAGTCGAACAAGAGGTCTCGGAGAGAAACAAGGGCCTTGTAGTGACTTTGCGGAAAGGCAGAGGCCTGATGACAGTGGCAGGGAGAGGGGTAATAAATCATGGCCAGTGGCAGTAAGATAAACGGTGTTGTAAAGCTGATTGGGAGGAGAAACTATTGTGATGAGTGTGCAGTGGTGAGGAGGCGCTGACGACCAAAGGGTCACCACTGCTCAGAGGCAGGCCCAAGCAGCTCCTGGCCTCTTAATTTACCTTGAAAAGCTATTACGGCCACTCGGCTTGCTTCTTTGTGACCCCCACACTCCGCCCCACCCTCTCCTCCTGCTGGAAGAGGAACAGTTTCTCGGCAGGACTGTGGCTCTCAAGCACACAATATTGTAAGGCAGTTGTTACATAATGTGAAGTTTTGAGGACAGCATTGACTTTAAAAAAGGAGTTCTGTTCTGTTTTGTTTGTTTGCTCATCACCATCATTACTGTGGTCTTGAACAATGTGTATCACTTTATGCGAAGGACTCTCAACGACTACATTTTAGCGCAGTTCCTGTAGAAGAGACAAAGATTTATCAACTTATATTTTTGAATGTCACTTGGATGTGACAGCCATTGTAAACTGGAATGGTACCAAATGTTTACTGGTGCTAAAAGTATATTACACATAATTTGAGCATCCTCATCACAATGTACATGTGTACTGGTCCCATCACAGGTCCTGTGATGTAAGAGGTAAATGAAATCTTGTGCTATCTATGGACAAATCACTAAACCATAAGTCATTGCACTGAACGGTTGCTTGTTACAGATTTTATTTTGACGGGTTACTTCCGCTGGTGGAAGTGGGCAACTGTGTCAAAAAAGCCACAGCTTTAATTTTGCTTTGAAACTTCAGAGACAAAAATGGCAACATTTTTCATAGAAGTGTTGTCACTAAATTCTCCAGCTGGGGAGGAAGATGACGAAGATCTTGACAAAAATGAGGAAAGTGAGCAAATTTGCCGAGAACTGGAGGAAAAGTGGTAAAATATGGTTATTAAAGCATGATGGAATTAGAATCTGAGACAGACACGGAGGCATCACATTTGTGGTAAAACACAATTCACGTTTGCACAGGATGGAAGGAAACATAATCTCAGGTCCCAGCACAATAAAAGCACACAATTAAAAAACAACAAGAATAGCTCTTAACTACAGACTTTTAATGTGCAGAAAACAACGGTAAGATCAGTGCAGTTTTATTGTCATCAAAATAGCAGCATAACTTAGTGATATTCATGTCATCTGTTGAAAACTCCTTTATTTGTTCTTATCACAATATGCAAAAACAGTTTTTTCTAATACTGTCTAGCCCTACAACGTTTATATTTCTTGAATTCCATTCAAAGGTTGACAAGATGTGCTGCTAACAGATAAAGTTAGTTATTGGCAAAGTCTTAAAGACAGATGGTATTCTGTTATTAGTTAATCTAAGGACACAGACTTATGCAAATACTTGATGAAAAGAAGATACTTTTCAATGTTTTTTTGGATGCTCCCTTCTGCAGGTGTTAAGCACAACAAGCTAGTTTGCGCAGCACCTATAGCATTTGTTTTACACCTGATGGCCTTTCTGATTCAACCTCAAGCCTATCATCTCAAAATAATAGCAGTGACACCGACCACCAAGTAACCACAGCCCTCAATAAAACATGGAAAATAAACATAATACAAACTAAAACACTGTATAATGAACAAATGTAAAACACAAATCATGACACTTAAATCTGCAAAACTGACTTAGTTATAGTCATTCCTTGTTTTATCTTAAGTTGATTCATCGTGATAGCCATCTTGAATTGAGTGTACTCCAAAAGATATTCGATCCCAACCAAATATTCACTTTCTACAATATTTAAATTTTTTATAAAAACTAAGAAAGAGATTTATGATGTCAGTGATTTCACTGAACAGTTTGAATTTCAGTCCTCCACCACCACTCTGTGCCACAAAACTCATCTTGAATTGGTAAATTATTTGTTCAGAAAAAAGGGGGTTTAAAATGCCTGTTTCTTCATTATATTATTTTATTTGAGCCATCAGGACAGTGTTGTGAAAAAAGGTGGGAAAATGAATCAGATTTTTTTAGGGGCAGAATGCGTTGCTTTTAGAAAATTTTGGACTTCTTGCTGTTAAATAATTAGTTTAGCTGTGACTAAAGTAAAGCTCCACTGCCAGGGTAAGAATTATAAAGCAACCTTTATGAGTCAGAACTTTCATAGGAGCCAGCACAAACACTGCTGTTGTGCTACTTGGCAGAACTGCCTGCTCTTTCTAAGAGGAAAAACAGTAATACCTCTTGAACTTGAAAAATAAAAGTTTTTCAAAACTGTTAAATTGTTTTTAAACCTTATTTCAACAGTAAATCATCAAAGCCACGTATTTTCTTTGGAAATATACATGTTGAACCGATGAAAACATCTATTGGTTTCACGTTCAGCACCTGACATAAAACGCACCGAGCAGGGGGTAAGAGGAGAGCTCATTCTAAATAATACACATGAAGAAAAGAGAGTTTGCTTTGAAAGTCTGTGTTTCAGTGTAATAATTCATAGCAATATGATCCTTTTGGTGCTGACAAAAGATGGAAAATGCTGATGGTTCAAATGAAAAAAAAAAAAAACAACAACAGACAATTTAACTGTTCCAAAAACTGAAAACAAGGAAAATAATGCTGCAGATGACATACAGGTGCTGGTCATAAAATTAGAATATCATGAAAAAGTAGATTTATTTCAGTAATTCCATTTAAAAAGTGAAACTTGTATATTATATTCATACATTACATACAAACTCATATATTTCAAATGTTTATTTCGTTTAATTTTGATGATTACAAATGACAACAAATGAAAATCTCAAATTCAGCATATCAGAAAATTAGAATATTACTGAAGACCAATAAAAACAAAGGATTTATAGAAATGTTGGCCAACTGAAAAGTATGAACATGAAAAGTATGAGCATGTACAGCACTCAGTATTTAGTTGGGGCTCCTTTGGCCTGTATTACTGCAGCAATGCGGCGTGGCATGGAGTCGATCAGTCTGTGGCACTGCTCAGGTGTTATGATAGCCCAGGTTGCTCTAATAGTGGCTTTTAGCTCTTCTGAATTGTTGGGTCTGGTGTATTGCATCTTCTTCTTCACAATACCCCATAGATTTTCTATGGGGTTAAGGTCAGGAGAGTTTGCTGGCCAATTAAGAACAGGGATACCATGGTCCTTCAACCAGGTACTGGTAGCTTTGGCACTGTGTGCAGGTGCCAAGTCCTGTTGGAAAATGAAATCTGCATCTCCAAAAAGTTGGTCAGCAGCAGGAAGCATGAAGTGCTCTAAAACTTCCTGGTATGTGGCTGCATTGACCCTGGACCTCAGAAAACACAATGGACAAACACCAGCAGATGACATGGCACCCCAAACCATCACTGACTGTGGAAACTTTACACTGGACTTCAAGCAACGTGGATGAAGTGCCTCTCTTCTTTTCCTCCAGACTCTGGGACCTTGATTTCCAAAGGAAATGCAAAATTTACTTTCATCAGAGAACATGACTTTGGACCACTCACCAGCAGTCCAGTCCTGTTTCTCTGTAGCCCAGGCAAGACGCTTCTGACGCTGTCTGTGGTTCAAGAGTGGCTTGACACAAGGAATGCGACAGCAGAAACCCATGTCTTTCATACGTCTGTGTGTGGTGGTTCTTGAAGCACTCACTCCAGCTGCAGTCMACTCTTTGTGAATCTCCCCCACATTTTTGAATGGGTTTTGTTTCACAATCCTCTCCAGGGTGCGGTTATCTCTCTTGCTTGTACATTTTTTCGACCACAGCTTTTCCTTCCCTTCGCCTCTCTATTAATGTGCTTGGACACAGAGCTCTGTGAACAGCCAGCCTCTTTAGCGATGACCTTTTGTGTCTTGCCCTCCTTGTGCAAGGTGTCGATGGTCRTCTTTTGGACAACTGTCAAGTCAGCAGTCTTCCCCATGATTGTGTAGCCTATAGAACTAGACTGAAAGACCATTTAAAGGCCTTTGTAGGTGGTTTGAGTTAATTAGCTGATTAGAGTGTGGTACCAGGTGCCATCCATTTTGAACCTTTTCACAAGATTCTAATTTTCTGTTTGAGATTTTCATTTGTTGTCATTTGTAATCATCAAAATTAAACGAAATAAACATTTGAAATATATGAGTTTGTATGTAATGTATGAATATGATATACAAGTTTCACTTTTTAAATGGAATTACTGAAATAAATCTACTTTTTCATGATATTCTAATTTTACGACCAGCACCTGTATGCATAATCAAAATGTGTTCATTGAAAACAAAATGGGTGGTAGTTGTGGTATGGCAGTTTGAAGTGCAGCTTGGACATCAGCCACAGCTACAAGTTTGATGTTTTTTTTTTAGGGAAGAGCTAGCAGCGTTAGCAGCATTAACAGTGTTAGCTGTTGATTTTGTCTCAGGATGACATCATAACCAAAGCCGGGCACCAATAGCAAAGGCTGTGCTCCATTCCAAAATACTGAAATGTAAACTTTAACATTAAGCCACAGCACAAGCTTTAACTTTTACATTTATGTTTACATATTTAGTTAAGGAATTTAATATTTAGACATAACATTTAACAAAACATTTAGTAAAAATTAGCAAAAAGTAAGAACATTGAGCTAAATAACAATAAAATGTTAGTGGAAATAGAGTATTTTACACTCAGAAAGTGAGCTAAATAATGAAAATTAATTTGTCACTTTTTTAACATTTTATTTTACACTTGGCACTCCATACATTTGTAATTTTTGTTGTTGACTTCCTGTATTAATTTCACCTTTAAATGTGATCCAATGAAATGAATGAAGGGACATAAAGAACCATTAATAATTTCCAGGCACATGGATAGTATGATGATATATTTGTCCCCGTTACAAATATTGGTATTTTTGTTCCATTTTTGTTTTAAACAATGTAGCAAATAAAGACTGTGAACAGCACTAATCGTGTTTCCATCCAATTACATCCAATTTTAATTTGAATTTTGAGCTAATTTTAATAATTTTGCAAAAAGGAAAACAATTAAGAAATGCGAATCAAATGGAGTTTCCATCAACTGGCTTGAAGCGAATCAATTACGTCATATGCATGTGCGTAGTAAACAGGAAGTAACCGTCGCTGCACCCGCAGGGTCCACATATCTCAGGAAAATGGAGAGAAGTTATCAGGAACGCGTTGCTACTATCAGGAAAGTTGTAATTATTCTGTTATCAAGTAGTTTTGGCCATGTTACTGCTGTCTGGAGACGTAGAGAAAGAAATGCAATTTTATTCACGTTACGGGATTACTGAGAAGACGCAAACAGCAGGAGGAGGGTTGTGCTGTCAGTCGCAGCTGCAGCTGACCCAAAACTGGTACCAGTACCGTGGAACAGCTGCTCAGCTACGTGAGGTAAATGTTCGCTACGTCACAACTTATTCGGCAAAAGTGTTTCCATCTCTCCTTTTGCGCATTAAGTGTTTTTCAAAAAAAACCAAAAACCACCTCAAGCGAGCTTAAAAACTTTTTAGCGAATTGAGGATGTTTTTTCAAATTTTGCTGTTTCCATCTGACTTTTTTCGCATTTTTAATGTGACACTTCTAAATGCGCATCAAAAAGCCTTGATGGAAACACATTTACTGTCAAGAAAAGAAGCTGCATTGTTTGCAGTGGCTCATCCAACCAGCACCCTGGTGACTCTCTCCCCTGAGTGATGGCTGTCACTGGCTTTCTATCAGCTGCCTACATGCCACCAACACCCCCTTTGCTTCACCCCTTTTTATGTGCTTTCTCTCTGCTCCTGCATGCTATCTCCACAACTCCTCTCTGGAAGAATTGTTTCTGTCTGTCCTTTTTCTCCCCTGTCTCTCTCTTTTAGCCTAGTCCCCCCCCCCCCCCCCCCCCCCCCCATGTCAACAGTCTTCCTCCTTCCAGTCCTCCTTAAAAAGTTCCCTCAGCCTCCTCTCACATCCTCTCTACATTTGTTTTCTGCTCTTTCTACTTTGTGTCCATTTTATAATCAGAAAGACTGACTGAGCATCAACAGATAGTCTGAATGCAAAAGTGAAAGACTACATTTTGTGTGTGAAGATTCCAGTTTCTATAAGAACAAAATGTACCTTTGGGAGTTAGTGAGCACCAAGAGGAAATGCAAACGGAGATTCTGACTTGACACTTAAAGTGAGGTAGAGGTGTCATGTGAAGGAACGAAGGAAGCTGTGTGGTGAGAGCTCAGGCTCAACGAGGCATCTTCTTAACTCAAAGAAATCTAAGCTCACTTTTTATCACACAGCAGCCACTTGTATTCATTAAATGTGTTTAGGAAACACCGATTTCTAACGTTGTCCATCCCTGACAGCAGAAGTGAAGTCAGAGTATGGGAAGAGCAAAGAGAAGGGCAGAGGAAGGAAACATATAGGTGGTTGGGTCTCTGCATGGCTAGTGTGAATGCAGATTGGGAGTTCCTGGACATGCATAATTCACCACAGGGGAGATAGAAGAGGAGGCTGGGGGGTACGAAGGAGGGGAATGGAAGGGTGGGTGAGCGAGAGTGGAGGCAGGGAAGGAAAGATGGAGGAAGGAAAAAGAGGAAAATGAGCAGTGCGTCGAAGGCAGCGTCAGCGTCTACAGTGAGGAGGTAATTAGGGAGCTGTCACTTGTTCCTGTCAGGCACCACTCCCGCTGAAACATCGAGTGTGTGTATGAGTATGTGTGTGTTTGGTTGTTCTTGTGGGGGAGGGCTGAGGTTTGTGTATAACTGGATGTATGTGTGTGGAGGGGTGGGGGGTGTATACATGTGTGTGTTTGTGGATGCATGCAGGGTTGCATGTGTATATACATTGTGTGGAAGTGAGCGGGGTGGGCGCCATGCAAGCTGAATTCAAATGAGATGGTAAAACCAGAGGAAAAACAGGATAAAGTAACAGACTGACTGAAAGGGAATTGTAATAAAGGTGGATGAATACGACTCAGAAGCACACAGCTTAAAGTATTACAAGAGGAGACACGAGAAAGAGAAAACTATCAATCAGGGCATTTAGACAGGGAGAACGATTGAAGAGATAACAATAAATTACATTTGATGAATTATATTTATGGCATCTGGGGACTTTTAAAGCACTTACACACACACCTAAGTCAGGGTGAACCTGTCGCAACAGCAAAGTGTTTTGCTGTGGTAAACATATTTGTATGCATGCATTATTGACACAAGTCTCACATATTGCAGCCAGAGTGTCGACTGTCAGCCCGCTGCACGCTGATTGTAATCTCAAGTAAAAAAAAAAACAAAAAACAATGCACTCATGTTTAAACAGTCTGCTTGTCATATCAATATCAGCAATGGGAATTTATTTGACAGACCCCTAATGTGGCAGCACACATCGAGAGGTACGAACACAAACACGGGCATATGTGAGCGACGCATGCAGACTTAGGCAGGGAACGTGATGCATGGGTATTTAAAGTTGTAAACGTCTTTCTAATCTGCAGCCCCTTAGGAGACAGTAGCTGCACCATATGAGTGAATCAGTGTGGGCCTGTCTTTAGAGCTTTCATTGTGACACCGGCACTCATACCACACACTGGGTGTTCCAATTAAAACCCACCCCTGCCAGGAGAGCAACAGCTCTCCAACAATACTCTGCTCTCCCACACACACACATACACACACACACATACTGTATGTGTGCACAACACACACACACAAGTCGCTGACAAACCACAAATACAGTCAGGCTGACGATGATGGATGGTGTGCATAACCTGGCTGGTGGTATAGGCTTTGGCTAAACAGCTCAGGCCTTCACCGGGGGTTTGTCCTCAGGCAGGTGGTGCACTTCCACACAGGTGGTTTACCAATGAGCTGGAAGATAATTATTACACTGGAAAATTGCCACAGTGTTGGGAACTTGGACTGCACCACAATGTCGGGCTTTGTCAAAAATGTAGCTGAACTGTTTTCATACTGATTGCTATTTTACTTTGCATTTGTAGATAATGGGGATTATTGCACCTCTCTAATTTGGCACATAGCTGGAAGTTATACAGACCTTCAGCGCAGTGAAAACAAATTAATGAGACAGGCCAAAAACATCAACTCAAGCTCTTTCCATCAGGTGCAAAAAGATGGGCGTAATAACCACGATAATATTTTGTAAAGATGCTTGTGCATCAGTTGTCTGACTTGCCAATTCAGTGTAAACAAGCACTATTGTGCAGTAATGCCACAGAGTGATATGTGCCATTTTCCTCGAGCTGGCCCATAAAAGACTCATTAGGGCACTTCAGACGTATTTGCACTGCAAGAGGCTGCCATTAAACACATCGCGAGGCCTAATAAATGCATTATTTAAAAGCTGTGCTCCAATTACTAATTGATTAGAGTCGAGCGCCTCATCAATAACACAGAAGCGGCCCCTTCAAATCAAAATACACATGATTTATACATGAAAGACTTTAAAAGGGATAAGTTCTCTGCTAATGAGTCATAAATGTTTTAAACACCCAAACTTTTGCTCATGATGTGAAAATTTTTGAGGGGCTGTCAGAATGCTGCGTTCGTGTGTCTGTGTGTGTGCATGTGTGTGTGTGTGTGTGTGGGTGGGTTGGGGTGGGGGGATTCAGGGTTTGAAACGCATAAACACAAATCTCTCCCACTGGGAAATCAGTATCAATGAGAGAGAAACATGGCATGAAGCAGCCCTTCAGTCCAACATAACGAGTTTATTGACAGAGGGGTTTTATACCCACAAAAATGTAAAATTACTCTGAAACACTTTGCATTTAGTCCTGAAACAATTGTCCCTATAGGCAGAGCACATTTGTCACTTAATGCAAGGAGTCCATTAGCAGACTGATGCAACATTTATTAAACAATAATTTAACTAAAATATGTGCTTATACATGTGCCATGTACAATTGAATTGAATATTCAATAATTGCCTCAATGAAGTTTAAAAGCAAAATGTACATAACTGTAACAGTAGTTGCAGATGTTTGTATGTACTGTATTTGTGTTTGTCAACAAAACTGCATTTAAATAAAGACTATCAAATTACTACGCAAAGTCTAAATGTGTTCCTTACGCCTAAGAGACAGTGTGGTATATTCTTCCAGACATTTCCACCCTTGTGCATACCTCTCGTTGCACCTGTGATCATAGTGTGCTATCATACCTGGCAGAAAACAAAGAGGATCAAAAGCAGCACAATGAAAAACAAAGAAATAATCAAAGGCCTGCATCCCACATGAGCAGGAGGCCCTGAGGATGGCTCAGAAAACAAGCAATAAAAGGTCTCATTGCTGATATCAAACTGAATAGAACATAAAACAAGTTAAACATTGTCATCCATGCAACTCTTGCACCCTACTGCAACAGTGTTTTCAGCACTCTCAATCATTTATAAATGACATTCGTTTCAAATTCTGAGATTCTTTGGTGGGTAAATTGGGCAGAAAACCAAAAGTGAAATTTGGGGTATAACTTCTCCAAGAGCTTTGAAAAGATAAAACAACAACAACACATCACAATTAAAAACATTTTCTCGATAAAGATGTGGATACTGTTGCTGATATTTTGGAATTTTGGTGCTAGATCAGATAAGTGGGCACTTGTTTCCACTGTAAGTAGATGTGTGTTTTTGCAAAATTGTCTAGAAATGTTTTTCCTGACAGCTTTGATGCTAAAGACTTCATTAGTAACCTCAGATTGGGACTGTGTAAGTTCACGACTGAAAACATAAATGGTGTACTCTCTCAACAGAAATATAGTAGAAACTCATACTACATGTCTTTAAAGTAACAGCCTGATAAAACTTGCTTTATTTTAGCAATAACAAACTTCAGACAAGTTTCAAATCAAAAACATCCTATTTGCTGCATTAAAATGGTTATTTAAGGTGAACACCGTTTTAAAAGTTACCAAGTGTCTGTGTATTTTCTATGGTACATTTTGAAGCTAATTCCATCAACAAACACAGCTGCCAGCCTGTTGGAGTATAGCTTTAAAAGTCTGGCACATCTGCTGGCTGGATTCTGCTGGTACAAAGAAATCTTTAAGACATGACTCTGATTCTCAATTAGATGAAGTTCTGGGCTTTCACCAGCCTCCTCACAGACATTCAAATGTTTCCCCTTAAACCGCTCAACCATTCCTTCAATATGCTTGGGGTCATTGTCATTCTGAAAAGGTGAACCTCCATTCCAGCCTCAATTTTCTGGAAGACTGAAACAAGTTTCATGTGAACTTGCCTGTCTTCGTGATTTCTTCATTTCTGAACTCTAAAGCCCAATTTTGTGGAGTGTACAATGTGAAGAGGGCCTGTGGACACAAAATGTCTGCTTTGGCCTCTTTATAAACTTTTAAGCTGATGACCTTAATGGTGCACTTAGCTACTTTTACAGACAGACT